ATATATATATATATATATATATATATATATATATATATATATATATATATATATATATATATATTGTTTAGCCAGCTGAGGCGTCATCGACGACGTACTTATACCGCATAATGATATTTCCTACTTTTTCGTTTTAATCTATATTTACAAATTTGAGAGTTTAATGATTCGCTTTTTTCTTTTTGGTGGTTTAGGAGGCATTGCTGTGGTGTATAGACAGCTGAAACACCAGCAGCAAGCGGTCGGTTCATTGATTGGTGTTTCTTCTGTGCATATATAAAGCTAAAAAAAAATAAACATTTTGTGAATTTTCTTTTTATATTATTTATTATTTTTATTTATTTGTTGTTTTGTTTTTAATTTTATTCTTTTTTTTTTGATTCTCATCATGAATGCCTCACCAGCAGGCAAGGAAGCGATGCAGAAACCACCCAGCTTACCGATCTGCATCAGTTCACAGCCTCTTGCGGTAATTTAATAAATTAATGAAATTTCATTCATAAAATTTAATTTAATTTAATTTAATTAATTTAATTTAATTTAATTTTTTTGTTTTTTATTTTCGGAAATCGGTGGATCGCTCGTGTTCAGGTCAGCGAAACTCGCGCCAATGCAACAACAGATCATTCATCACCAGTAAGCAGAAAGAGAAAAAAAATTTTAATTTATTTAATTTATTTAATTTATTTAAAATAAATAAACATAAATTAAAAACCTAAACCCAAAATAAATTTATTTTTTTCATCTGAATAGCAAGAGAACATCTGGTCTGCGAACGCTATTGAAATATTCTTTCCTGAGATAAACAGCGAAGAAACTAAAAACGCAAAAAAACCAAAAAACAAAGTGAGGGTTTTTTCTTTATAAAAAAAAATAATAAATAATAAAAACAATAAAAGCAACAACAACAATAATAATAATAAACAAGAATAATAATAAATAAGAAGAAAAATAAACGCAACAACGACGACAGAAAAAACAACAAAAAAAAAAACAAAAACAACAAAAAGAAAATAATAATATTCATGTTTTCAGTGCTCTGCTGCTGCAGCAGCAAGAGATGTGCTGCAGCAGCTGCTGCAGGAAGCAAACATTTTGCCGCAGCAGCAGATCAACAAAACCGCCATTCAAGTGCTGCAGCAGACACCAGCAAGTTCGTTTCTTTCTTTCTTTTGTTTTCTTCTTTTTTTGTTTTTTGTTTTCTTCTGTTTTGTTTTTTTGTTTTGTTGTGTTGTGTTGTTGTTTTGTTTCGTTGTTTGTTTTTGTTGTTGCTGGTGTTTTTTTTTTTAGTTTTTTTGTTTTAATTTGTTCTTAATCTTTTAGCTGATGTACTGAGGGAGAAGCTCAGCAGCAGCAGCAGCAGCAGCAGCAGCTGCAGCAGCAGCAGTTGCCCCCTCGCTCTCACAGCTGCTGCTGCCTGCTGCGCTATTGCGGATAAAGACGCATGCAATTCAAATTCCCCTCTAACACAAGCAGCAGCAGCAGCAGCAGCAGCAGA